ATCTCAACTGGCAACATGCAAATTTGTATCTAAAAAGGTACAAGTTATTGCACCTAGCCTAAGTACAAAGAACTTTTTTGTTGCATGGTTAGACAAATTTTGCATCTGATTGAGATTTGCTTAAGGACACATCCTCGCTGGATACAAAATTACCCATTTAGAGTGTGCCGGCTTTTACTTCATAGCGGACTTGAATTCTTTGGCTAAACACAGGGTGTTATGTTATCTTTGTCTTACGAGTGAAGGGAAGGTGAAACGTGCTATACCTATTTGTCTTGCTTCGTCTTGTTTGTGCAGATCCTGACGCAGCGCGTCCAATCAGCACAACAGAGGGTACCGAAGCGGCGCGCTCGAGACGGGTCGGACGGTGACAACGGCTTGGGCTCCAGTGGTTCGTACGTGGACTCACTGGCCGGCAGCAGAGGGTCTCGGGTGAGTTCCAGGAAAGGTTAAAAATAAGCCGCACTCGAAAGTGTTGAATTATCAGCATCTTGCACTGGAAACGCAAGTGTGTGAAAGTCGCTCACTTGCAGGTGTGTGAATATTCATTCGTACACTTAGAGGGGGAAACGTGTGAATTCCTCCCAGAAAATTCACAGTTTACCCCCCTAGGTGTACGAATGAATATTCACACACCTGCAAATGAGCGACATTCACACACTTGCGTTTCCAGAGTGCATGCTGACGAAAGCGAATCCCGTAGAATCTCACTGCGACTACAATTAAATTAAAAGTGTTTGTCCTAAAAATAATTGTCTGAAACGTCATATGTCATATATGCTTCCACTAGTTGCCATATGCTACTCTTTTCACAGAGAATACTTCTATTTTTGTTTAAAGCCAAAAATAGAGACGAGTGTACTGCTCTAACATTTCAGAATGAAGAGCTGCTGGAAACTCTGAACTATGCGAAACAGCAACGGGGTCCGTGATCGCCATCGCGGCAGCTGCCATCAAGACATTCCAGCTAGACAAGTTGTGGAGGCCACTCTCTTACTTCCCAAAACCACACAACGGAAGCACAGGTTGGTAAGAAATTGGTTAGTTACACCAAGGTAACACGTAAAATTAAAAATGCGATAAGATGCTTCCCGATGGAGTGGCCAGTGGCCTGCCTCCATCCCACTCGCACAAGTGGATTTTGCTCGCTCAGAACTGTTTCTAAATTTTATTGGGCGGACAGGTGTTAAGTAAATTACCTTACCCCTAGGAATTTTTATAACTTTATTCACGTCACATGAAAGTGCAGAGAGGATAGTGTATGTGAATAATTAGT